CCATATTCAAACGCTTATATTTTTGCTAAAAAATCGCAGTTTGACTTCAAACTTTGCATAACTGTTGRRAATTATATGCTGTTTTTGGTCATGAACATAAAAAATTCATTTAGATCTTAAAACACAGCCTTTTGTAGKTATTTCTTGACCTGTCTAAAACGCWTTGAGCCGTGATAATCCCATACATTCTTAGAAATTTTCGTTTGCTTGTATTTCTGTTAAAAAGCATKATTTTGGCTCACAATTTCGCAATAATACTATAATTTAGATGTTCTATCGAGGAAAATAATRATATTTAGATAATTTGGCCTCTAAATAGCATTTTTAGAATATCACGTGATTATGAGCTTGGGCTACCTGTGGACAATTTGTGACTGATAAGCGACAATGAAAAAAAATAAKAAGAAAAATAAGAAGCCCGAAATTTAAACTCGCGGTTCCACAGGAACCCCGAGTAATGAAGAAATAATCGAGTCTTCTATGCAGAATTTCAGATGAACTACTTTTACCTTGAGCTCTACTCACCACGAAAATCTTTTGGTGTTGGGATTCCTAAGTCTCCATATATCACAAAGATCACATTCCGCATTCATGGCTTCAATTGTTTCAATACTTTTAATTTTCCTTACTGGATTCCCCCCTGCTTCATGGTCTAAGTCAAAAACAACATTAAAATCACCTCCCCAAGTCATATATAAATCAACTGGAACGTCAAATAATCCAATTTTTTCAATGATTTCCTTTAACACCGTTATTTGTTGATTTTCGTAGTTTGGTAAATATGAGTGAATTGATAAGTAGAAAAAAAGCKCCGTCAATCTGGACTGAAATAATTACATATTGACCTCCTTGATTTTGTGATTAAGTTTATGTCCTATAAGTATATAGCCACCCCTCTGCTTCGAGAATTACCGTGAGAAAACAATAAAGAACCTTTTGCTCTTTTTTTGACCATTGTTCCATAACATTTTTCGTGCTATGGCTCACTTGCAAAAAAAGACACTCCTTTGTCACTCCCATGTTTATACAGCCAATCGAAAATTTTAATAGATTTCTTATATTCCCCTAGGCCCTTTGCGTTTTAGCATTAAAATGATAGTATTTGAACCCGGGGGGGGGGGGGGGGAAATAAAAATCCATAGCCTGTTCAAGACAAATCGGAAAAATAAGGAATCGGTATCTACGCCGCAACCATCAAAACTGTAGTTATACTGACAACACGTTAATCCTGTTACAGTGAAACGTTATTTCTACTATTTCTACGGTATTTCTTACGAAAATATTACCCTGTCCAAGACACACAAAAA